GTAAAATTTTCGAACCGTAGGTATTGGATTGAAATTGAGTTACTATTATTTGAACACAACGTAACCCGATATCTTTGTATTTTTTAGATTTAATATGATTGTTGAGTTTCTAATAATATATTCATTAAACAATTACACTATCAAATACCCTCTTCATATACACAAATTTTCAATTTATTCTCTATCTCAATATAACTCATTCATATATATGTTTAGTAACTATGATCATATATATGTAAATTTAGAAAATTAATCGAATGTAATATACGTAAGATTTAAGAAGTATGGATAAGTTGTATCGAATGGTTGATAATGAAAAATAACTTATGAGTAGAGAAATAACATATTCAAATTTCAAGGTTAAAAGAATATTTTAATGTATCAAAGTATCATCCCGACCAAAACTCGTATGGTTTGGGTTGGGTTGAGGTGCACTTTGATTTGAGTTGTGTTGGATTAAGATTTTTCAAACTGTAAGTATTGAGTTAGATTCTTGAAATATATTCAATCAGATCAAGTCACCACACCTTCAACCTCAACCCACCAACTTTTTTGGGCCCCAATGTCACCGACGACCCAGGAGCAACGAGAACCTTACCCTTATCTTCAAATGGTGTTTATGTGTTTATGGGGATGGTTTCAAATTCAATGGTGATTTAGATGGTTTCGATGGTTGTGGATAGGGAGTGAATTAAACCCGCCTTGTTGTCGGCACCTCATCCCCTTTCTCCCTCAGTTCCAACCTCTCCGGTTGCTTAGTAAAAGCCAAAATAAAAACCCAAAATGATCACACCCCACATGGCTAGAATCAGATGGTGAATTACGAGTTTGGTCCATCCATATATTTGGTTAATTTTGTTGAACATGGGGTTTGGAATTTTATTCAGTTTTGGTGATTAAGGTTAAGATGTGAGTTTATGTTTGCTTTTATTTTTGGTCTACACGTGTTATGGTGTGTGGTAGCCAGAGATTGAGTATTGACCAGAAAAGATGAATGGATAAAGGATTTGACCGGAGAAGATGAACGGAGAAAGGATTTGGTCGGAGAAGATGAAGAAGGGCGGTAGTGGTCTTTTTTCCCAGGGAAGAGGGTCAGGGTGGGACCGTGGCGGTAATATATATCTCTAATTGTATTAAATGAGAAAATAAGAAAAATATCGGCAAATGACTAAAATGTCCCTAATTTAACGGGGATTTTTAACTGTCGTTAGTGGCAGGAACCAATGTGTTACGAAAATGCAAACTGTCGGGTCTATCTTGTAATAAACAAATTCTGGGGACTAAATCCAAGAAAAATTGGAAATCTCAGGGACCAAATCTGTAATTTACTCTTAGATATTTTGTTGGAAGATAGAATAATCAACAATTATGTTATTTACTGAATATTTTAAAATAAATGGATTCAAAATTGATTGAATACATAATGTTTGGATACAGTCGAACCCAACCGATTCCAACCCATAAACCTAAAATTCGGGACTTGGTTTCCATATTTGAAATCCGATTGGATTTTTGGTTTGTCCAACTGAACCACCGAATGCTCACCCTTGTCATATTTGATAATAAACTCAATGACATTCAATATTACCGGGATCAAATCCATAATAGATATAGCGTGAGGACCTTGAGCATAAAAAAACTTCAAAACACAAGGATAAAATCCTTAATTCACTTTGAAATAAATACATTTTTGTACGGGAGGTTGACTATAAAATACAAGTAACCGTAATAAGACGAAGATTGTGTGAGAAAGGAGGTTATAGTAAGAACTGAGAAGCGTAAGAAAGGATATGAACCTTTGATTACTTTTAATCTCATGTCCACTGATAGGTGTTAATTTATCAACCTTATTATATCATTTTCTTAATCATTTTTTCTTGTTTTATTTGTCCATTAGTGTCTAGATTTAGTCATTTTATTCTTATATATATATATATATATATATATATATATATATATATGTTAGTAGTATTATGTCATAATCTGATGTTATTTTGTCATTTATGCAGATTTTTTAAGGTTTTTTGGCCAAGTCCTATAACAGTCATACATGATTCTTTTTGGTACTGCAGCAGTCCTACAGGAGCAGACATTTTTGTTTTGGGCCGAAAACATGGGCTAAATTGATAGAGTTGCAAAAATTAGGGTTTGGGCTTTATATGATAGTTTTCCTTACAAGTCTTCTTTTGTAATATTAATTTATCTTCCGGTTATCCGGTATAAGCTTGAACCTCCTTATAAATAGGAGTTGTTTCTTAACAAAACATAACATTTTAACCTTTGGGTTTTCTCTAGTCTTTTATTTTAAGCTTTCGGTCTCCTTGCTTCAAAGAAGAACTGAAATTGTTGAGTGTTATTTTGTTCTCAATCATATTTTTAAGTTCAATTATTCAAGTTTCAACTCCTTCTTTTCTTACTTTCGATTTTCAAAAGTTTTCTGATTTTCGTTACAAGTTGAAAGTAATCGATTACTATTGCATTACATTGGATTTCATCATTTGTGACTCAAGATTAATTTCCTTAGATAAAAAATCTGTTTTTCAAGTGTTTGCAAGTAATTTCTCATTTTTAGTGACGAAACTTGTTTTGCAAGTTTTGTAACTTAAAGTGGAAGCCTCCTTATTTTATTATTTGTTAGTACTTCATTTTACTTTATGTCATCTCTTTTAGAGTAATTTTGGTTTTCATTATTTACTTTTCTATGCTTTCATTTTCAGTATTTAATAGTTTCTAGTCTTTTACTTTTCAGTACTTTAATTTATGCACTTAACTTTTCTGTAATTTATATTCCAGCAATTTAATTTCAGTCATTTAGATTTCTACACTTTAATTTACAGCACTTTAAATTCCAGTATTTTAATTCCTCGCAATTTAATTTCTGCAATAGACTTTTTCGCATTAGTTATTTACTTTTCAGTCTTTACATCATTAACGAGAAGAAACCGAGCGATGATGGACTAAACATCTTAACTTAGTGTGTAAGGGAAAATTAAGACCAAAGCCGATGTGAAAGTACATAGATGTCTTATTAGCATTATAGTCTAACTATTTGTTTAAGGTGATTAATATTCCATTGAATATTACATTAAAGTTAATTGACAAGTAATTTTATGTATGGAAATGCATTAACTTTCAGAGTTAAGATAAATAAGAAAACTCGAGGTAATAGGAGAAGGCTATAAATAGCTTTACTATATGACAAGTACTATACTTCTACGGTGTAGGAAGGTAACACTGTGTTGTGCTAGGATTCACGACGTCTAACATAAATGATATCGTATCAATAGCAAGTTGGCTTGTGTTTACTATAGAGAGACCGTCTAACCCGATAGTTGATATTGTGACAGTTCTATAAAATCATCTTGTGGTTTAATAGAATTGTGACAGGAGTTTTATGTCATCTTTCTGCTTAATCATCTATTTTGTGTCTTAATCAACCTTTACACCTTGTGCTTTTTTTATGATTGATATTTTCTTAGTTGCTAATCAAATCTTCTAATTTTAGATAAAACAAATTTCTCGAATTCGTCATCTTAAATTAGTTTTCATAAACTGGATTTTTGAAAAACTTTACAAAGCTTTCGCTGCGGAAACGATATCTAGTACTTATAGCATTATTACTTGTTACAAGACGATAGTAGTTCAAGGTATATATGTGCAATTAGTTCTATTTTTGTGTTGAAATTTAAGGTTGCATAAATGGAACGAGCACGCACCCATGAACTGCGTCTTGGAAGAGAATTGATCTAATAGTGTAGATTTTTTCTTACATTCTCGTCATAACCTTCCTTAGCACCGGAACCCAATCAACCGAAATAAAGGGCCAAGATCGAGAGATGTCATGATGAGAGTGGTCGCGATTGTTAGGCCGTCATTTTGAAAATGAAAATATGGTAGAATGATTAATAATTAAAATGAAATAATCAATTATAAATAAGAATGGTATAAAATGATAAATGTTTAGGAGTTGTTTACCAAACACTTACCCGAGTAAGCGTTTACCAAGTCACATTACCTTATCGAATGAATATAATAAGAACCAAGAATCCTACCCGGTAACATCAAGACAAGGACCAAGAGTCTTACCCAGTAAATGAGGGCGACGACTCTTACCACGGTAAACGCTTATCGGGTAAATTGTTGCATACGATATCATTTTGATGGACTAAAATCTTACCCGGTAGGTAATTGATAGTGTTAAATATTATTAGTAAGCGCTTATTGGGTAAATGTTTGGTAACTTAAAAAAATGTATAAAGCGTAAAAGAAATTTGCATTATGTTATTTAATAATAAAAATTGATTATTTATCCATAAATAAACATATGCTTCCCAAACAATGTATATTGATTATTGTAATTGGAAATGATAGTCATGGCCAAAATGCACCTGCTCAAATGATGTAAAATCACATAAAAAAGTTCAAATAGTAAATTAGGTATTATTAGCGATCCACATATGAGATGGGCAACAAAAACTACATCCATCAAGTGTACATACGTGTCTTATGAGAAATATTTACTCGGGTCGTAGTTAAATGCAACGTAAAAGAACCCGAAACCCTAACAATGTCAATGCTGCGATTTCGAAGTGTTGATCAAACGTCAACACAAATTTCATCTCGTAAACTGATAATTATTGTAAGCCAAAACCATTACATTTACTGTGGTGGCGTTTAATGGAAACATAAAAGGAGAACCTGCTCATATAATATCCAAAATCTCATATTAAAAAATTTAACAAATCTATGAGATTTATGGGTTATTTTCTACATAAATTGGTGATCTAAGATGCTATCTCACTAAATCGTACAAATAATGGAATCAATCGGTTGCAAAAGATCACCAAAACCAACCGGAAAAAAACTTTCTACAACTTGCAACTTGAGGGTAAACTAAGGGTTATGACTCCCTATCAAGTGCATCTAGCAGCAATTTCTCACTATAAAAATGGGAGAGTCATCTTACCATTTTAGCTGCAACACTAAAGAGTCCTACATATTTACAAGCTGCCAACCGCAGAAAATACTGGCACCCATTTGTCTTCGCTGCAGAATACATCAAACAAATTGACATGAAATCTCAACTTCTTGAGAAACCAAGATTGCAGTAGAACAATGAAGAAAAAACCACACAAAGGTGGGGTTGGGGGAGGGTAGGATGAATGCGGACCTTGCCACTACCCTCCCCAAGGGGTAGAGAGGCTGTTTCCGTAAAGATCCACAACTTGCATAACAAAAACATACAAGAAACATATGCAAGAAGTAGCAGAGGAGTGTGTGAATTAAGATGAAACAAGCATGAAACAGAGGGTGTTGTACACAACTATTACTAGACACAAGAAAAACTATGTTGGCAGACGGCATAGAATGGAATCGGATAAAAGCTAAGACTGGCATCCAGTAGAACGAGAAAAAACTAAGACTGACATACAGTAAAAGCATGGAAGATTGAGGGCGGCATACAGTAGAACAAGAAAAAACTAAGACCTGCATACAGTAAAAGCAGGGGAGACTAACGCAGACATACAGTAGAACAAGAAAAAACAAAGACCGACATACAGTAAAAGCAGGAAAGACTAAGGCTGACATACAGTAAAAGCAGGAAAGATTAAGGCCAGCATACAGTAGAGCAGCAGTGAATGTTGATTTTAAGATGTAAGACACCCGTATCAGTTTTGAATTTGAAAAATGGCATATGCTTAAGAAACTAACCTTTGGTCTGATAACGCTCAGCACTGCCAGTTGCAGCAAAAACTGTGGTAGTATACAACTTTACATTTCAGACATTCATCCTGGGAACTCCTCCTTCATCAACATGAGTACCAACTTTTAGCAAAGAAGGCTAGAACACATGCACCCGCTAGTATGCAGTGCCGCAACCAGAACGCGTTTCTATTTCCACCATTTGCATTGAACAGAAAGAAAGAGAAAAAAGAAGTAACAATTATTCGGCACTTTTGATGAGAGAACTTCTCATCAGTTCTGACTCCATATTGGAATGCTTCTGTAGTTTCAACTTTTCTTTTTCAGCTTCCTTCTTTTCTTTTTCAGCTTCCTTCTTTCCTTTTGCAGCTTCCTTCTTTCCTTTAGCAGCTTCCTTCTTTTCTTTTACAGCTTCCTTCTTTTCTTTTTCAGCTTCCCTTTTTTCTTTTTCAGCTTCCCTTTTTTCTTTTTCAGCTTCCTTCTGTAGTCTCAACCTTTCATGTTCAGCTTCCTTCTTTTCTTGTTCAGCTTCCTTTTGTGCCTTCTTCTTCTCCGCCTCTATTTGCTTGCAGTTTTCTTCATGGGCTTGATTAAACATTCTCACAAAGAGAAGCAAAGTTGAAACAACTGAAAAGGATATCAGAACATGGAATTTCTTAGAGGAAGCGGAAATGGATTGTGATCGCCTGAAGATATTATCAGGAAAGTAGGTCCTTTATATGCTGCACTGTATTATGTTACAAAGCAAGAAATGCATGCTTTTCCTCGGGTTAGCAAGTAGATTAACATGTCTAAATGTTTCGGTATCTGAAGGAGTATATGTTTCTCTCTATTGACTCAACTAGCAACTGTTGAGCATATAAAGGTTGAAGCAATTTATTTGTTTCCAGACAAAAGGATGTCTACTAAAATCCTACTTCTATAGATATGGTGCCTTTTGAATATAAAACTGATACCCAACATCAGGGAGGTTAAAACAAGAATGGTAAAAAGGTTGAATGTGAGAATAGATCTCGACTGTAAGAGGGATTCAATCCAAGGGATGTGATTAACCACATTTTTAAACTTTATTTTTAATACCAAAAAACCCCCCCCCCCCCCTCCTTTGCCTATTGTTTTAACGAATATATGAGATATAATCAAAATTAGAGCAAAACATATTATACCAAAAAATAAGCATTTTATTCCCTTCAATTTGCCATCCATATTATTATACTCTTTCATCCGTTCTGTATTCTCACATTCTCAACCTTTTCACCATTCTCACTTGAACCCTCCCCTGTCGAACATTTGTATATCTTTAAACAAGGTTTTCTCATATATAGAAGCACTGCTTATGCAGGTTGGTTTTCATCAAGTTGTTTCTCAAAGCTTAAGAAATTTCCGATTAATTTTGAACTTGAAAAGAAAAGTTCCACCATCAAAAGTTGAATGCTCTTCCAGTTTGAAAAGAAAAGTTTCCGATTAATTTTGAGCTCTGGTTGATTGTGCTTTCTGCATGTGATATACTGATATGAACATGCATGGCCTTTTTGGATGAAGATCTCTAAAGCATGATATCAATATTGAGCCCATTTGTGCGCTAGACAAAGAAGCATTGCACAACAATTTGACCTGGTGATTTAAAGCGGCAGTTTTAGTGAAGCATCAAAAGGCAGATGGTAATGCATTTGTATCTTATTCATAATTGATGTTCTGACTGTTTCATGCCCAACTTTCTGGTAAGAAGGTTATTGATGTGTCAAGGACTACATGAAAGCAGTAGATTGCCCATTGTAGTTGGGTACATTTGCTTTTATCATGCACCTTCCTCTGTGAAGGAGACTAATGGTAAAGCTAGTTGGGTGCTGTTTAGGGACAAATAAGGGTGTTTGAAATCAGAACCCAGATCACAGGAACTTGGAGCCTGTCAGACTGCCTACAAATTGACAGGAATCCTATGTTGCCCTCATCAAAGAACATACCTCCATCATAGATTGACTGTCACAAGGGAAATCATGTAATGATCCTAGCTCATGTTAAATGCATTCCCAGTTTTTCCCTTTGAACCCAACCCCTCCCTCTTTCCCCTTTCTTTAAGCTTTTTAACGTAAAAAATCGGCAACCAAGTGGGTCATAAAAGTGTGATTTAATATATAGCTATTCCAACAACTGCAATGAATGGTGTAAGCACTTCAACCTACACCTTAAAAGGTTGCCACTGAGGTTCCATAAATGTAGGCCTCGATTCAATGTGCAATCCAATAATAACATACCTAACTTAGAGGTGAAAGGAAGCACGTTAAGATGGCAATAGAATTTAGATATTAACATTTCAGTCTTTTTGATGATTACCTTGTTCATATGGGCAACGAGCAGGATCTTCTCCAAAGTAAAGAATCAATGCATCCACACTTTTACCCTATAAAAACAGTGCAGCTTTACAACAATGCTGGGTAAGCTATAGCAGCCTTTGTATCTATAAGAATTTTTTATACATACCACCCCAGAGTACAGTGAGGCCAGGGACTTTACTTCACCTTCCGCGGAAGAAAGAAATTTTTTCAGCGACTGACCACAGAAAACCAAAATAAGCTACTTACGCTTCAGTATAAAGTATAAAAGGAGATATAACATTGTGAAGCAGAATAATCATCTTCCTTATCATTCAATCGTCAAACAACTTCCTCCTAAATACTTTGCATCTTAGATGAAACACAAAGCCTATGAGCTATCAGCTATGTTCATCAAAAGATAATCAGTTACTGTAATAACTAGATTACGACTCTTTTCAATCTTACGTGCTTACCTTGCGGAAGCGTTTAGACACATGTCCATCTTTTTTACACAATTTCTTTTCATGGACTACCTTCTCCAGTCCTTTGGTAATAGCTTGCATCTCTTCTGCCAAGATTTTTAGTTGTATCTGGAATAAAATAATCAATACAATCAACAAAAATGCAACTGAATAACTTCCATTAAAAGATTGTGAATTCTACCAAGATTACCTTTGATGCAGGTTCCAAACTGCCAAGTTCCTTGGAAAAATCTAGGAGTTCCGGTAGTTTGTCCGCAAGCACCTAAGATATCCAAGCAGGGATACCATGAACTAAAGTAAAAGAACGATTTCTCCCGCTCAACAGAACAAAGGATAGAGAAGCAACACCAACTCAACTGACATGACCTGAAGTACCTCTTGTCATTTATACATACTAATTAACCAGGGCCTTGGGTTCTCCAAGGTAAGGACAGAGGCTGTTTCCATGGTCTGAGGATATAGATCTAATATGTTATTTTCCATCAGATGACACCAGCACGGTGCACTCACACATACCAACAGATAACACCAACTTTATGTAATAAGTTAGATCGCAAGGGACAATATGTATTTATTGCAAAAAAAACATAAATAAACAAAAAAATCCTACCTTACAAAGATAATGCATCAGAGTCATTTTGTTGTTCCTGGCACGTGTTTCGTTAAGCTTGAGGAGGCTATCCAATCTGAATCCAACAGCAGCGCCTAAAACCAAAATCAGGTTAGTCCAAAAACACAATCATAGCAGTAAGATCCAGACTACTGGTCCAACTGTCATGGTTTAAAAAGGTGAAACCAAACCCACCAGGAGTTTATGCAACCTTGGCATATTGCCATGGTCGCGGCTGCCAGGTCGCACAGGATCGAGAAGCAACGGACGAGCTAAAGTACCTATTTTGCAAAGTGGACAAGTTGAAGGGGACGCGGGCACGCGAGATGTCCACATTGCGTATATCTCTTGATGCTTTCGGTAGTGCGTGAGCGGCGAGATCGCAAGCGCTAGAGTTTAGGACATGGGCCACCTTGCCACGATTTAGGGTCACGTAGCTAGGTCGTGTATGGATTAGAGGCATTAAACAACTAGGGTTTGGTCATCTAATATTTATGCTTTTATCCTCCAACATTTAATACTTGAGAGAAGAAGAGATTAGGTTACATTTCGTCAAGTGGAAAGATTTGGAGCATGTAATTGGTAAGAACTTCTTTCTTCTCTTTCGGTATGAATAAGTGAACCACCAACTCTCCTCTGTGGATGTACACTATCTCGCCGGTAGTGGAACCACGCTAAATCCTCATGTTGTTATTGTTTTCGTTAGTAGATCTTTATCGCATCGTGTTGTGGTGGTTATTGTTCTTTTTGCTTGGTATCTTTTAGACACATTTGAGATCCTTTTCGCATTGTTTGTTGGGTTTTTGCACTATTTGTTTCGTTTGGGACCTTAGTGCTTGTGTAGTGATAGTTAAATATCCCCCAATAATTAGTGTCAGAGCTCCTATAGTTGTGTGGTAGTGCACTTGTTCAGTTTCTACATAGTGGGGATTTGGTGCACACCAAATGTTTGATAAAATGTCTTGAGACAATCAAGTAACCCTAGTAGATCATCTTCAAGATATGTGAAGGGTTCCTATGCTAGTTCGACAACCGGCCTTGGAATAAAGGTCGGGGATTTTGGAAGTTGGCAACAGAAGATGAAAGCGATTTTGAAGAGGAATCGGGTGCATACTGTTGTGTATGCATTGGATGAATTAAACCCGAATATTTCTGACGGCGAGACGAGGAATTATCTTAAATGAAATATTGTGTGTTAACTACAACTTGCTATGGGTGAAGATGTCATCCCAGAGGTAAGTATGGAAGATATGGCACATGGTATGTGGGGGAAAGCTGGAAGGACTTACTCAAAGAAGTCTCTCACGAACCGCTTGAGCTTGATGAAGATGTTCTACACTATCAAGATGAAAGAGGGGACAACAATTTGAGAACACATGACAGGTTTTGATGATTTTATCATGAATACGAAAGCATCATAAATGAAACATGAGGAAGAGCATATGGCAATGATCTTATAGCTATCGTTTTACGGGAGGGATACCATTACACTGAGTGATGTGAAGATAGGTATTCTCAGTGAAGCTATTGGAAAGCATATTAAAGTGTTGGGTAATGGGAGCACGGATGTAGGTAGTAGTAACCAAGGGTTGTTCAGTGAGTGAGATGTAGCTGATGCCAAATGAAGAGAAAAGTCCAGAGGGTCTTCTGTTTCAAGAAAGCCATATGTGAGGTGCATGTCGAAGAAGCGAGGAAAATGAAATTATTGCAAGCAACCATACCATTAGGTCAAAGATTGTCCTAGGATCAAAGAGGACGGTGACGGTGCTTCAAAGGTTGCAATTGACATCTTGTGTGCAAATGAGAGTTTACATTAAGTTGATCATAGTAGGTGTTGGATTTGGGCACGTCATTTCGTATGACATTGGATAAAGACTCACGTTCGACCTTGGAAGCTAGAAAGGGAGCAACATCTTGATGGGGAATAATGTGACATGCAAGGTGATGGATGGTGGATCAATCCAGATGAAGATGTTCGATGGAGCAATTTCACGATTATAGGCGTGAGGTATGTTCACACTATGTTAAGGTCACTTCTCTCGGTTAGTTAATTTGTGAATCATTGCTACAAGACCACATTTGTTGGTGAAGGAGTGAGAGTCACCATGATAATCATGAAGGGGAAGTTAACAACAAATAACTTGTACATAATGAAGGGGCAGACAATGACAGGGAAAGCTTGTATGGGAGCGAATAGCTCGAAGAAGTTGGTAGTCGCTCATTTATGGCATCTACGCCTCGGTCATACTTTAGAGAAGAATTTAGAGATTCTCCATAAGAGGAAGATGATCACATGTACAAAGCTTAATGACCTTGAATTATGTTCTGACTGTGTGTAGAGCAAGCAGACTCGGGTACCCTTTGGTACTAGAAAGCATATATCCAAGGGAGTATGTGATTATGTACAAACAGATGTTTAGGGGCCAATTTCCATCTCATCCCTTGGTGATGTCCATTATATAATTTCCATTGTAGATGGCTACTCTAGAAAGGTGTGGGTGCATATCATGAAACACAATTCTAAGTCCTTTGAAAAATTCAAGATTTGGTTGACTCTTACGGGGAGTTAAAGAGGACGAAAACTAAAGGGGCTTAGATTGGCAATAGTGGTGAATATAAAGATTGGCTACTAGTACTCACGTTAGGTGCATTTGGTGCGTAGAACAGTACGAGACAAGACAAAAAAAAAAAAAAAACTTCTTGTCCCACGTTTGGCACGAAGTTAGACTAGACTATGTAGGACTAAGTGGAACAAAAATCAGAGATAGGGTCAAAATTGGTAAGTATTAAAATACTCGTATCAAATTTTAATATTGTAAAATCTTCCACAATTTTTTCACCCACCTACCTCTTCTCGCCCATACAGTCTTGTTTGAGTCTAGTCACCTACCAAGAGCACCGATCATCATCGATGGGAAAATTCTTGAAGATGTATAGAGGAGTAACAGTCCAATCAGTTTAAAATACTTCAGAGTATTCGGTTCTCCCATGTTCACACTGCAGGAGAAAAGCCAAACTAGATCCGCATGCAATCCGTGGAATTTTGCTAGGTTATCCGAAAGGGGGCAAAGGCTACAAAATTTGGTTGCTAGAGACAAAGAAGATTTTACCTCGCGTCATGTGACATGTGATGAATTACACTTCTTTTAGGCACAATGGTCCCTATGATGGATGCTAGAACTCCAAAGGTATTAAATATGAGTGTGTGACTTCTCTGATATCTTGGTCTCGAACAGGAAATCACAACCAAGAACCATGATTGAATATAGTTCACTATCATCTACTATTCCTATTCAAATAGTAGAGGTTAGTTGTGACTCCAACTAGGTGGAGATCCGACAAATATGAACAGTGGTGTAGAGTCGGTATGCAAACTTGAACAAAGACTGAGATTATGCGAACTTTAGTTTCGACGAACAACTTGATTACACCTTGAATGATGTTCATTAAGAACCCCTTGATTTTAAGGAGGCTATGAGTGCGTGTGATAGCTCATTGTGGAAGAATGTCATACAAGAAGAGATGCAATATTTTGCCAAGAATGAGACTTGGACATTGGTGCCACCATCAAAAGATAACCGCTTGATAGGTTGCAAATGGGTATTCAAAGTCAAGGGTGATGAAAGGTATAAGTCCTGACTTGTTGCCAAAGGGTCTTCATAGAGAAATGAGATTGATTATGATGAAATCTTTGCCCCCATTGTGCGACACACTTCCATTCGGATCTTGTTGTCGATTGTTGCAGTGAACGGTTTGGAGTTGCAATAGCCGGATGTGAAAACCTTTTTCCTTCACAGAGATTTAGAGGAGACTATTTATATGGTTCAACTAAAGGGTTTAAGGTACTGGGTTTGCAAACTCCACAAGTTGTTGTATGGCTTGAAGCAAACACCATGTCAATGGAAGAGGTTTGGCTCGTTTATACTCAATCTTTGATTTTATTGAAGCGTAAAGGATGCATGCATGTATATTAAGTGTACAAAGGTTGTGTAAGCTTACCTCTTACTATATGTCGATAGTGTCCAAGAATTTAGATGAGATCGGCTAAAGAAGCAACTGAAATTTGAGTTTGAAATGAGGATTTTGGAGTGGCTACAAAGATTCTTGGGATGAAGATAACCTGGCATATATAGCGCAGAAAAAGTTGATATCGACTCTAGTGGAGTATGTCAAAAAAGCGTTGAGGCGGTTCAACATGAAGAGTGCAAAGGTATATTCTACACCCTTACTGGTGCATGTTAAAGCTTTCTAACCATGTCTAGTGTCCGACTCCAATGTGGCCTATATGAGCAAGATATTGTACACTAGTGTTATATGGGCAGTTTGATGTATATCATGGTTTGCACAAAGACCAAATTTTAGCACAAGCAGTTGGCATCACTAGAAAGCACATGTTAAAACCTAGTAAGGCGCATTGGGAAGCCATAAAGACAATTTTGAGGTATATGAAGAGAACTCTAGACAAGGGCTAGTATTCTAGGAAATCAAAATGAGTGCAATTTGATCAATAAATGTGACTCAAATTATGTGGGGGACTAGAACAAGTGTAAGTCAATCTCGGGGTACGTGTTCAATTTATGTGGAACATCTGTCAGCTAGCGTGCGAGATTGCAGACCATAGTAGCATTGTCCACTATGGAGGCAGAGCTTATTGCTGCAGTGAAGGCGACAAAGGAGGCTCTATACTTGAAGCATTTACTGAGTGATCATGGTTTTGTCCAAGGTATGGTGGTAGTGAACTTTGACAACCAGAGTGCAATTCACCTTGCTAAGACTTTGGCCTTTAGCTCAAGGACAAAGCACATACACTTAAGGAGAATCTTTTGTTGTGGCTATGCACGAAGACAAGCTAATATTGCTCTAAACGATTCGTACAATGAGAACGTAGCGAACACGTTCACGAAGGCATCGACTCCCGCAAAGTTCGAGCATTGCTCAAAGCTCATCCAGTAGCTCAACCATTAGTGCCACAAAGTGGGGGGATGGATTGCTGTGGAGCATTATATATTGTTGAGTTGCGGATTGGTCTTGGTTCGGGTTGGAGGTATGGCATATTCTTTTGGATTTGCGTGTTGACGGGTGATGGCCATGTCGACTCGTCAGGACGTCAGTCTTTGTATTGCCTATCTCATCTGCTTGGTTGATTCATTGTGAATTTTGTATCAAGGTGGAGTGTCATGTTAAATAAAAGGGTGACACCAGAGCCACCGTGAATGTATTCGACCTTGGCATGTTGTGATGGTCGCAGTTGCCAGGCCGCACACGATTGAGAAGCAACAGATGAGCTGATGGATCGAGAGGCTGTTTCCACATAGACACTGGCTTGCGAAAAGAGAAACTCAATATATAATAACAGTCAATCACGTAAACTGTGTCCCTGTCCTCTAAATCTAATTATTGGGTTTGTCTACTGAGATTTAGTCAAAAATTACCAGATCTACATTAATTTGAGTGACTAAATACACTAGCTACTAGCAAAGACATTCTCATAACCATAATTAACTCCAATTACTAATCTAAGTGTGAATTTTTAATGAAGCTAATTGATTAACTATATTGAGATCAAACTTTACAGCTTTCTTAAGAAAAAACTACAGAGTTCAAATGCATGCATAGAGTTAAGTGCACTGTTTTTGAAGTTAAATGTTTCCAACCTGGATAGCAATCTTTGGCATTGGACTGCTCTTATAATTGGGTGATATGAGCTAAAGTAAAAGAGAGTTCTCTTCAATGACACTCAGAAACAGAAGAAAACCCATAAACCTGTGAAATTATTAGATTAAGTACCATAAATAGAAAAGATGGGAAGAAAAGCTACTTTGCAACTGTAAGGGATCACAAGCACGTCTAACATAATGCAACCATTGGATTATTGAACTAAGAACAACTGAAGATGACTGTCCTATCTTTTACAAATCAGCATATAATGGTTAGGAGGCCAACATTCTTAATAAGTGGGCTAATAACTCACCTCTTGCAGTTCCCTGGTTCAAAGCATTGCCAAGAGAAAGAATTGTCTGCATGACCCTCCTCAGCTTCACAGAACTCCTGATCTGATATAAGCACCATCAACATACATGAAAAAAGTAAAATTTCATCCAATTAAATTGTCAGTGATTAATTGCAAGATTAAAGTAACAGATAACTTGCCTGTTCTACTGACAAATATACATCATTTAGGCTCTTCCTAAGATCTGAAACCTAAATTACAAAAAGAGCACCAAGTTAAAATCCAGTACTTGTAAGAAGCAGGAAATGCATGTAAGAGTGTCTTCTGACCTGTGTACTAAACTGTAACTTATAAGAGAAAACTCTGAGCTTAGCTTCTGAGCGTGGGACTCTCATTAGCTCCAAGAAGAACTGTTACGAGAAATCAGAAAAAATCCATATGAGTGAGCTGAATCGTGGACATATTTTCATATTTGCGCCTTGGTGCCCCACTTCGTCAACATACTGATGATATAAGGCCAGAGTGGGTACTACATTACCTGTTCACATTTCCCCAATTTATCCACCTCTCCTTTATAGCCCTAAGCATAAAGAAAACGCTAGTTACAGTACAAACAAAAGCTGTGGATGCATAATATAATGGACCACAAACCTCGAAACAGAAATAAAATAAGAGAGACATAGACTATCTTGATTTTGACCACAGTAACCTCAATATTAAACTGGTTAATGGCAGAAAAACTCCTGATATCTGCACAGTTGTAATTTAAATCTTAATTTCTCATTGCTGCAAATTAAACGTTGTAACTTGACATGCATCAATGTCATAGATGACCATCTTGAAACTCGCAAAATTAAGCATGTGGACTACACATGACCGTTCATACTACCACATTTATGTAATTATAGACATTGAACATGAATTGTTCTTAATCTGAAAACAACTTTAAGAACTTGAAGTGCTGAAAATGTTGTAAAAAGGAGAGATGTGCAATGCACTTGACTACTTTTAGACGTTTAGGGGTTCTTTGGCAGTTGATACATGTGACATTGCAACAGAATCAAATGTCAAAATTCACTTTCAGCAAATAAATGTCAAACCTTTAACTACCACCACCCTAAAGTTTGTTTATCCCATTGACCCTGATAAATAGCTCAACTAACATTATACCTTAATCAGTTCCATCTCCTCCTTGGTAGGACAGAACTTTATAAGGTTATCCACCTGATCAACATCCATTGCTGAATCATCCAAAGCCAGGACATAATCCTGTTAAGTTTCACAACTAAAGCATTAAAAGTTTTGATTAGACAACCTAAATTAGGAATTAAACATATGCTTAAGAACGCAAGATGAAATGAGCACATATTCGGAGTATATCATATTGGAAATAAATTCTACATCTAATATAGAAATACATTTTTACATGAAAAAGCTTTGATATAGATATTCAACAGTCTTTCCTAGAACTTGGAGAATGAACTTCTACCACCTTTTTCTTTGCAAATACCTTTGACCATATCTACAGGATTCATGGAACACAACTTTTAGAACTTATGAAACTCTAGAACCCTTTGCCTATGTCATACTGGAGAAGAAACCAAGAGAGAGTTACTAAAGACCAGGAATGTTTCAATAGGTTTGACCTGTAGAAGATGACATACAGCATATAGTGAATGATGCAAAAAAAGGACTGTTTCAGCTCTTGAAGGATTATCCAGATGAGCAATCATACACTTACAGGGGAAAACTATATGGTTCTTGACTATTAAAAGGAAAATATACTGAATTTAGTCACTAGCTTTCTGGAAAATTATGAAGGCACTGGATAAAAGAAAGTACCAAGGATTTCCTCAAGTAGAGCTAATTAATAACATAATGGTTTGTTGGCTTCTGGCCAAATGTACACCTACTAAAGTAATTGGTGGTAGTTCCTTCCCTCCCGAATTACTAGGATACCTTGGTTCACTCCCTCCAACAAACATTGGTGTTTCTCATACTCGACCCATCTCAAATGAATGCAGAATGATGGTTTGTTATAATCTCAATTTGGATGCCAACCAACAATTTTCTACTTCAACCCCCCATCTCCCTCCTCCCCCTTTCCCCTTCAACAAAGTGATAAGGTTTATCCTACTAACTGGGCACACAAATAATTTTTTGGCTCTCCGATATCCGGTTAATTGGATTGCCTTAGCTCTACTTCACAAAATTTAATATTTTTTCATGCTTAAGAGACATACTGAACATAAAAAATGAACTACTTCATCAATTTATGAGAACCTCGTGTGTTTTTGTATGTAAGTTTTGTCTAACGATATTTTATTATGTGTTCAGTTTTTCTTTTATCTTTTTGATGAATTCTAAGTAGCAAACAACATAAAAGAGATGGGCTAAGTAGGTTTGTGTATAATATAAATTTAATCACCTTTTTCAAGTCGATCAGCATATTCTTGTATTTAACAGTAATCTTGATTAAGATGAAAAATATCTTGAGCTTACCATCAGTTCAGGCAAGGGTGTCTTCACCTTTGAAAGCATGATCTCACAGTTATATGCCCGCCTATGCTCAATCTGCAATAAGTATGAAACATCAATCAATGTTGCATTTGAAGATGTTTTGAACTCATTCCGTTTGCCACTTTCACACCTTGTCGCTGGAGTCTCCATGAACATAAGTTCTTTTAGACAGAATAGCATTATCATCATTGAATTTTAATGATATTACAGGTAACTCCGGAAATTTTGAGAGCAAACAAATAAACAATAACCGAAGTAGTTGCCAACCTTAACAGTGAGCATAGCTAGAAGGTGCTAAAGATGTATGTTCATTGCATGCAAGTGAGAAGGAAAATTATTTTACCAGTTGTATTTTTTCGGGTTTATTCGCTGCTCGGGATTTTGCTTTGGCCTTGTCGGAATTCGGGTTTGCTGCTGAGAAGAGATGTTCAAGTTCCGACATATCAATCTCCGGCGCCCTAATGAGATGAACCATAAGAAAATGAGAACATCAAAAAAACAAAACTTAGTATGAGACGTCATTCTCCTTCAAGAAAAAAAAGAACCACCTTGCAGCTTCACCAGATTTTTGGGCTTCAGCCCACAAGCTTCCTTGTGCCGCTCTATTTAACTTTAACCAATGCAATGGCTTCAGCTTCTTTGCTGGTTGACTCTTCACAGCAGTTGTCCTTGATAGTGTACGCCCCTTGGATGCAGGAGGTGGAGGAGATGGAGCAGACACACTGGGTGCTTTTGAAAGAGATGGTGGTGGAGGTGGAGCAGCATCTCCTTTCACATTTCCATTAGCAGCTGCGGCTGGAGGAGGGGGTGGTGGAGGTCCTGAATGTGATGCAGAATTGGCACGCGAGGATTTAGGAGGTGGGGGAGGTGGTGCTGACGGAGGTGCTGGAGGTGCTGGTGCTGCGGGTGGTGCTGGTGGGGCAGGAGGTCCACTCCCAGAACCGGGAGGAGGAGGGGGAGGAGGTCCAGGTACAGTACTTGTCTTCTTCGCTGGAGGAGGTGGGGGTGGAGGAGGCCCAACCTTACCACCTGTAGCTTGCTGACCAGAAGGTGGGATAGGAGGAGCCGACGAAGATGTTGCACTATCTTGCTGATGTGTCTCAACCTTTTCAGAAACAGAAGGATGTGAACAGGTCAAAATGATATGAGGTGGCATGGAGAAAGATTTTGTAGAACCATGCAAGGATGCTTGTAATTGAGCAGGTGACCGTGCTGACGATGGTAATTGTCTGGGAAGCGAAACACTTCTAGGTCCAACAGTTTGGACCTCTGCCTTGTGCAAACCAGCTTCTGTGCCAGATCTCTTTAACTTGGTTTCTTTATGCTGATTCTTTTTAGGAAGCGTTTGAAGTAAATTGCTAGCCTCAGGCTTTTGATGAAAACTAGTCTCAATCATTTCATGGACGATATCTGACAAAGCCATCTGGGTGAGCCTATTCAAAGCAGCATCACTTTTAGGAACAAGCCAATCCACACTGCTAAACATTTCTTGAACTTTAGAAAATGCTTCAATTGGGAGCCCCTCCTCCTCAAAACAAGACAAATCTACTGGAATCGCAGAAGCTGCAGCGTCCATTTCGGAGAAAAGAAGCTTCATCCGATAAAAATCACTTAGATATAAATATATAGTGTGTAAGTATGCATGAAAACTAATATGAATGCTTATGTTGGGAGGTATGCTATAAAACAAGTTAACAACTACGTCCTCATCAAGAAAAATACCTCAGCTCTGAAGTCCTTAGGAAATTGATCCTTAGCATCCCAATGTAAGTCAATTTCATCACGATTAAGCATCAACATATTTGATTTGATAAATGCTGTGTTGAACATGGCACGATACATTATCTTTTCAGGCCCCGTGTCATCATGTAAGCTAATACACTCCAGCACAATGTCACCTTGAATATGACAATTAATATCAATTTTAACCAGTTCACTTTCTGCCTGCAATGCATGGAAAAGGTCGAAACTAATGAACAAACCAAAGGCGGTTATATAACATGCATGTGAACATGTAGGAGAAAATGTCACTTCTAGCTGAACTATTAAAAGAAAAAAAAGCTGACAAGATACATGTAGCAGATTCAGGTGAACATCTCACAAGAGATGATTCATGATGAAATATTAATGTTTAGACATTACCCAAAAACCATTCTGCAGGTTCAACATGCAAGTTCTTCCCCTTATTTTGTTTACAATATGTCAAAGTAGTACTCTTCAGAATTTATGAGAGCTATGCAAGATTACTCCACTATGAACAATTAACAAAGAGTCCATCTGATGTATAATAACAGCCTTCATACTTGGAGGAGGAAGGCCATGCTCATGTATTTGTCAAGTCAGTAAAGGGTTTTTAAGATGCATAAAAAAATGGTCATTTTGACACTGGTCTACTTGAACATAATATATCGAACTACTGAGACATGTTTATCATGTCTCTTTGTTCCTCAATCGAAATTCTTCAGTTTTTTTGTATATAAGAATAGCACATTCTTAAACATTTACCATATCAACTTCAAAGAGTGCAACAACCAAAAGGTCCAAAACACAAGGAGCATCACTGTTGGAAACATCAAAGTTGTACACATTAGGCCATTTGCAGGGGACCCAAACCTCATAAAGAAGTAACCCTTGCAATACTGTATATGTTTTATCCACATTACATGATGCATACATCTAAGGCAAGTTAAGTTTGCAAACTTCTTCATTGAAAGATGTGCCATTAAATAAATCATCAAAGTATGCTAAACTTATAGGATTGAGGATTTCTGGTGTTGCAAGTTGCAACAACATTAGACTGAATCAAGATGACAACTACAAACACGATGAAGATGTACGAAGCAAACACATATGAATCTTACTATTGGCCCCACTGATCTTTTAGAATAAGAAATATAGCTCTCAAATAACATAACAAGGGAATGAAGAAAAAGGAAGCACTTCCACTTCTCAAAGCTGGAAATAAGACAATTCAGATAGACCAAAGGTATTGCATACTACAATGAAGATAGAACATCTTACCTGATTGTAATATCGGACATTCTTACTCCTCCTTGGGGTTGAGAACAGAAGTTTGGGGGTTTTATCAACATGTAACAAAGGATCCCGTCCATAAATCCTGAAGATAGGGCAGCAACCCCCTTTTCCGTCAAAATCAGGAATCATTCTGATTATCACACAATCCAAAGTGAGTGCCCTGTCCGCTGGAGGCCATTCTGTCTCAGCAGTCCTCCTTGACACATACTGCAAGTACCTCAACTGAGAAGGTACAGGATTAAGAGTTGACATTACGGGTAACATATCACGAGGAGCCTGCTTATGAACCATGTCCAGGGTCTTGAATTCACCAGTGCAATGTTTTCTGTAAAGCAAGAGAGCAGCCATCATGAAAGCTAAAACCGGCCAACCACCAACCTCAGAATGCATTAGAAGAACATTTTGTTGTCCAAGTGAAAGCCAGCTTTCGCTCGATTTTAGAAAATGGTGGATAACCTCCAACGAGAGCAATGAGCAACCTTCATAGTGCCGAGGATAGTCCATTATAGTAATGTCATATTCCGACAAAACAGAGGCAATCCTGCTCGCTGAATCTCCCTCCCGAAAATTAAAAATCATGATTGATGATTCAGGGAAATTATCCTTAAACTGACTTATTATGTTGCCCACATAAACTTTATAATCTTCTTGTTCCCAAGCTTCAGTGCTGAAACAGCAATCGAAGACTATACACCAAAAGGGCGCATCATCAAATATCAAACTCAAACAAGTTCTAATCTTGAATATATCCACACTTACAAAGAAATTGTACGCATACTCAAAACATGGAGCTGTGTACACAAAATGCTGGCATCTAATGTACATTTCCACAAGGGAAAAAACATACAGAAGTATAGCCTATATCATGAGAACAAAAATTACAAAATATGGACTATGGTAAATAGGCAATGTCATATCCTCCTAGTCCATTACATTGTAGTTTGTACCATCACAAAGCTTGCATGAGGCACTGGAGGGGTAACAAGATCACTTAATTACTTGTCCACCCAGACCAAATACCGTATGTAGTAAATCAAAAGACCATTATATTTTTGAGATTATATGAAAGGGAAACAAGACATGTTATTAAAGAGACGAGATTATAACCACACTTAGTTCAGAAAAACAAAAAACCACTAGAAAATGTTCAAATAAGTTCAAGAACATAAACTCATTATTAGAACAACATCTAATTTAGAGATGACACAATCCTGCCTTAAATGTTTTCAGTTTTCATTTCTAATGTGTCCGGAGACCACCAACTTATAAGCAATTATTCAATGTCTTCACTAGAGCTTCAAAACATCCAATTACCACACTGCAACACAATATCACAAGTTCATGACCAGACACTAGTTTTAAAGTAAAGTTTAACGATAAATCAATATTGATACAACTATTTATGGCAGCATTCAACTACCCAAAATATCATATCCCCAAATAAACAGTAGCATCTAAACCTAGATAGAAGTGAAGTGATGATACAAGGGGAAAGGTTTATAAAAAAAAGGGATGACACGTATACGTATGAAACTAATTACTCCATTAATGGAGGAAATGTGTTACCGTATATTCTTTCAAAGATCCCGAGAAGTCCATCGGGTGGCTTCTTATACAACAATTTCCGCAACAATGCCATTGGAATTCAGTGATTTTGAAACCCTAGAAACAATTTCGATAAATCCCCCAACCTCTGTAGAAAAGATACATTTACGTTGTGGTTTTGTGTGTGTATAGTTTACGACGTGAATCAATGAGGTTTTGGTAATGCCGATTGATTCCTGTGAGGTTGATGACTGAAATGATTGCTTCGATTTTGTGTTTGTTAAGGTTTCTATCAGATCAGCATGATGAGTTGCACCATCGTTGCTCCAAAGCACCAAGGGTTTGTGTTTTGCATGCAATTTTTTTTTTTATTTCAATCTCTTTCCAAATAAATACTTGTTTTCTTTCATGAAAACCATTTTTATGTTTTCTTTGACCAATAATATACAAATTAACCTTATTTTCATGTTTTATTTTTTATATAAAATCCTCAACTTGTAATCGATCTAAAACGACTCATTGTTTTTTTGAAGGATACTTGTGTAATACAGTAAGATATATCTTGATTTTAATATTTTATTTTATTTTATCTTTGTCGATATTATAATATGATTTTATGTAGTACCGAAAAACGATAATATATTTATTTTTTTTGAATAAAATATAAATTTGAAGGCATCATAAAATTTTTAAAAAAATATATGTCGATTTTTAAGTCAAATTAAATATTTAAAAGTTCTTGTTTTTGTGTAATTTCTTTAATTAAATTTTTTATTATAATATAATTTAGATTTAATAATAAAGTCATTTATTTTTTGTTTAATAATATAATTCTTTTATAAAGATAAATTTAGTATTTTGAATTCAATGATTATCCTAAATATATTTTAGATTGTTTATATTTAAAATGTGATAGTTATCTAGAATTTGATTATGTTTATCTATGGTTAGTTACACAAATTCAAACATAGAGCTTTAATAAGTTGTACATATGGACAATTTACTTATAATTTTGAACTTTAAGTAATATACATCAACAAACAGTACATAATACTTTAAAACTTGTTTTTAAGAGATTGGACCAAATGCTTTATAATATAGTATAGATAAGAAAGTTACTAAAACCTTCTTTTAAAAGATTAAAAAAAATTGACAAGATACATGTAACAGATTCAGGTGAACATGTTACAAGAGATGATGCATCAACATAATGAAATATAAATTTCTTAGATATTAGTCAGTAACCATTCTGCAAGTTCAACAACAAGTTCTTCCCCATATTTTGTTTAAAATAGATCTAAGTAATACTGTCCGAAATTTATCAGAGTTATGAAAAATTACTCCACTATGAACACAAAGTCAATCTGATCTATAATAACAGCCTTGATGCTTGGAGAAGGAAGATCATGCTCATGCATTTGTCAGGTCAATAAACGATTATTAAGATGCATAAAAAAAATGGTCATTTTGATAATGGTCTACTTGCACACAACATATATCTAACTACTAAGACATGTTTATCAAGTATATTTGTTCCTCAATCGAAATTCTTCAGTTTTTTGTTTATATATAAGAATAGCGCATTCTTAAACATTTACCATAACAACTTCAAATAAAACTTGTTTTCTTTCATGAAAGACGTTTCTATGTTTTCTTGCAATAATATACAAAATAACGTTATTTTCATGTTTTTTTATTTAAAATGTTGAAGTTGTAGTTGATCCAAAACGTAATATTACAATACAATTGTATCCATATAATACAGAGTAATACATCTTGATTTTGAAGTAGAATAAAACTCTCAATCTTGATTCATTATTCGTTATATTTTATGTTTTTGTGTGGTTCTGATAGACCGAGAACGATATTGGTTGGTTATCAGTTTTATAAAATATTCAGCTATATTAATAAAGCTCGACATTTATCTTGCATTTAAACATGTTTATTCAGTCATATAAGTCGGTTATATTAGATTCAAATGTGGAGTTTTAAAAAGTTGTATGCATGCAAATATAAGTTGTAAAATTGAATTTTAAAACATCGGTAAATTGTTTTATGATGTATTAAAATTATGCATGCATAATATGCTATTCAATCCTATTCTAAAGGGGTCGTTACTAAACACTTACTTGGTTAGTGTTTATCAGATAAATTTTCTCATTGGATAAACATGAGAAGGACCAAGTATTATATTATATTATTACGGGTCAATGTTTATTCTATATTTAAACAAATTATTAGTTAGTTTTATATAGTTTCAATATGAAGATTTCAAGAAATTATATGTATCCAGTGACAACTTTTAGACTTTAATTATATAAGATTTCAATATATGAAGTAAATGTTTTTAATATAGTAAATATAATAGATAACATGCTTGGATATGAATATATGTATGAACAAAATTTTGAAAACCCAACTAAAAATTGAAAAAAAGTTAAGGGTTGTTTACCAAACGTTTGTTCAGGTAAGTGAATACCAAGTTATTTTATCTTACTGGATGAATATGGTAAGAATCAAGAATCTTACCCGGTAAGAGCGAGACAAGGATCAAGAGTCTTACCCGGTAAGTGAAGGCGACGACTCTTACCACGATAAGTGATTACCGAGTAAATTGTTGTATACGATAACGTTTTGGTGGACTGAAATCTTATCCAGTAAATAAATGATAGTGTTAAATTTACCGGTAAATGCTTACCGGACAAGTGTTTGGTAAACGGCACCTTAGATGAGTATAAAGAGAATAGGGTATTAGGCTTTTTTATATAACTTATTTAATTAAGAATTAATTTATTTAAGACAATTTAGATTTCAAAACCATGAGATAAATCTATGGAGTTTAATGCTCAATAAACAATTAAAACGATTAACAATCTGAAACTAAACATAAACCATTAATGATTTGAACCTAAAACCAAACAATTAATGGTTTGAACATAAATAATTTCGGCTATACTTTTACACAAGTCATAAAAAACCCTAAACACATGTAAATTGGGCCCAAAAATTTTGGGGCCTTGTTCAAAATCTCACATTTAACATGTTAAGGGACGACCTTATTCTAGTATGTAATCTATTCAAGGGGAAGGATGAGAGCGTAATGTATACATAGTCATTCATTAAGAACCATAAAATATTTGAGAAACCGTGAGAAGATATTTATTCATTGATGCATAGCACATATGTATCACGACGGGTCTCTTTGGGGCATACCATATATTATTAATAATTTTAAACATAAAATCAAATCATTGGCTGAAATAAATAAGCTTAAATATAAGGCCACAAACAGGAAAAACCGATAATCAAATGGAAAACACCCCCATTTAATGATCGGATCACCGATTACGCTAAAAAACTACAGATTTCGATCCCAAATCATGGACCAAAACTTTCGGTCCAATGGCAACTCGTACGACCCGATCGAATCGACCCAAATATCTCAGTCCAACCCTCAACGAACCCTAGACACGGTCCATATGTGGATCAAGATTAACCACCGTCCCTGGGCTAAATCAGTAGCTACAGATAGCCCAAGAGTCGTCATGCAACACCAACACCAGGGAGTAGACCAAGACGGGGACGGATGCGTTGCAGCCGGCACGAGGTCGTGGCCTTAACCGGTGTCAACCATCGCTTGAAAGACCCCGGGACAAGGGTCATGGCCTTATCTAGGAAGTAAACAACACACAATCGTGACAAAACTTGTTGGCTTCCACTAAGAACCACCTTCGCTTAGAAACAATGCAGCAACGCAAGAGCTGCGATCCAAATGGCACGCCAACCACAAGGCAACTTTCCTGAACACCACAATGCTGCCAGGACCCAAGCAGTCTAAGCGACGACACAATAGAAAACCAGTCGTTCGACAATAATAGCAAAAGCAACAGTATAGCGGTAGCACAAGCCGTCGTGGTTCTTCGGCCACGGTGCTACCTCTAATCGGTTGTGTGAAGGCAGAAGATAAAACCATAGAATGACGGTGTGAGGCTGCGACCAAATTCGATTCTAAGCCACCATGTAATGTGTTAGCATTGCCTATAAGAAGGAGCATAAGCGACTTAACCGCAGTTCGAGTGCCATCAAAGATGGGATAGCAGCCGTTGTCAAGCAGTCGATGGCCAATGCACGGGCAACCCTAGACATGGCACCAACAAAGGATAGAAAAGGGGCTTCGATTAGTTTTCATCTAATCTGATTATTGGTTTTATATTCAAAGTGGCTTTGATACCATTATAGAATTTTAAAGAAATTTTTTACCATTAAATGCCACGGAAAATAATTTTAGGAAACTTTTTTAAAATTAAAACCCTTAGCCGGATCCAATGACTTATAGAACAAATCTAAACAAACCATAAGGTGTTTAGAGGGTTACCTTTTAGATATGACGAGGATTCTGACGGAGCACTTAGAAACCAAAATAGGTTTCCTCTATCGGTAGTCCACACACAATACGCTTCGAGTAATCCGGACCCTAGATCTATATGTGTTTTCAACAGAAAGAAAGAAAATGTTTTTTTTTTTGTTTTTCTATGATAGCTCACAAGTAAAAGATTGATGACCTTTTATTGTTAGACTTTCACCTTATTTATATCAATTGAATTATAGACATACTATAATTCAAAATAAGGATTTGTAATTATCTGTAACATATATATAATTACCTTAAACTTTAAACTATACTATATTATAAAGTATTTGACAATAACTCTTAAAATAATTTTTTATGCATAAAGTACATTTTATTGATGCACGTTACTTAAAATTCTAGATCACAAGTAAATTATGCGTAAATACAACTTATTAAGCTCCATATTTGAATTCGTGTAACTAACTATAGATAAATATAATCAAATACATTATAAAATTCTCATTTTAAATATATATAAAATATAATTAGGATAACTGTTGAGTTATAACAGAATAATTAATTATTATCTGTAAAAAATTATATTATTAAACGAAAAACAAATTACTTCGTCATCAAAACCTAAATTAAATTATAATACAAAAAATTGAATTAAAGAAATTACACAAAAAAAAAACTTATATATATATATATATATATATATTTTAAAATTTTATGATATCTTC